AAATTGTAAAAGCGCCGTTCAAAACATAATACATTTTTATTAAAAATTGCGCTGTCTAAATCTATGCCAAAAATTTATAAAGGTTTTGAATATTTGATCCATTGTAATTATCTAGTTGGGCTTTCAACCCCCAAAATTTTTGGTTAATAACTTTTAATCGGGTAAAAAAGTTAATTTCCGCTTTCGGATTCTTGTTATTGGGGTCCAGACGCGTCTAATGGTGTACCCCCTATCCAATATTTTGACCAATTTTGGGGGTTGAAAGCCCACGTTGATTATTGCCGCCGTTGTTTATACAAACATGTGTATAATAATCGAAGATGGAATTTCGTATATAGTTTTTTAATGTTTTATTTGTTTTACAGTCAGTATTTATTATTAGTGGTATTCATCTAAACCGATAACTATCAAGCAGATATTCTTATAAATTTAAGCATTCTGCTACATGAAAGCCCGGTATGGGGCTTTACACTTGCGTTTACACTTGCAACAAAAACCGCGTTTTCTTTGGTTACCGAGCTCAGTATCACTAATTTTATACTACTAGCAGTAGGATTAAGAAATGAGATAATGCCCATTAAAATAAATATTTAACATAAAGGCGATTTATTTGAAGTAAGTTAAAAAGAAAAGTTTGTGTATGAATTCATAAGAGTGTATAAGAGTGTTGTTGTATTTGCGTGCAAAATTTTTATGCGAATCCCGATTATTTCCCACGAAAACACAGCTAGAGCAGTGACAGAGTGGCGTTGGCTTCAGTTTATCATGTTTCCTCAGTTAAATCGCTGCAGAAATTTATCAGATATGTGTAAACGAGTTTCCATACAATTTTCAGTTAATTTATAAAAGTTGTGTTCCAGATGCTTCACGAATTGCAGGTTTTTACGGAAAGTAGTTCCCGGTCGCCACCTTCCATAAGGTTTATGACCCTATTATGTATGGTGACTGGGGTCTAGTTGCTGGTCTAGTAGCCATGGCTAGTAGTATCGCAATTTGTATTATGTAACAAATAACAAAATCGTCGTAACAAAACCATGCGTAAAGTTTATACGGTTTATTATGTGTATAGAACGAATAGCCAGCAATGCTTATTTTTGCACCGCATAATCTACCAAACTAGTCTATATTTTCTCATTTGGCCAGTAAAGTATAATCAACTGATCAGGCAATAAAGATTGATTGACTGACTGCACTTTCATAGAGCACTGTTTAATCTGTTCCGCCTATAAAACAAATTTTTTTTCCTAATCTGAAAAATTTCCAACAAGGAATTTCGATTTGTAGTACAAGAAATCTATAAAATCTATATATTAAATAATTTTCATCTTCTTTATGCTCATAAAAAAAATACTTTCTTCTTTTATTGCAGTTCGCTCTTTTGGAACCGAAGACCGGGAGACTCAGTTTCAGATTGCACCACAAAGCCAAATCTATGACTACATTCTTTTCCGCGGTTCTGATATCAAAGACATTAGAGTCGTTAACAACAGCCTTCCCCATCCCAATGACCCGGCTATAATGCAAGTACAGCTACAAAATGGTCAGCATATGATGCCACATTTTCCCATGCCCAATATAAACCCACCGCATGCACCACCGATGAGTGCAGTTGGAGGTTATGGTAATCCTTTCGGTATTGGCGCACTGGGCATTGGTGGAGCTGGCGGTGGAGCACCTTCGCTAGCTCCTGGCACTGGCGCACCTGGGCCATACATGTTGGGTGGAGGTAACCAGCAGCAACAACAACCACCGCAGCAACCGCCCCAGCCACCACAGCAGCAACAACAGCAACAATCGAAATCCCAGCAGCAACAGAAACAACCAAGTGAGTTACTTCCCAGCAACAGCAACAACAGCAATCTGACCCATCTTCAGCAACAAGATCAAATGCAGAACCACCACAACAGCAGCAACAATCAGTGCATAATAAAACAATTGCATCCACTATACCGTCGAATCAAACCCAGTTGCAACAGCAGCAGCATAATGATTCTAATACTTCAGTCCACTTAAATATAACGCCAACGTCGAATACTTTAAATCTAGGAGCGATTGGTAGTGTTGCTAGTATGATTGGTAGTAATGGTAATAGCGGCATCATCGGTGGTAGTCGCATGGCTAGCGGCGGTATCGGCCTGATTGGCGGTTTACTTGGTAGTGGTGGAGGTACTTCTGCTGGAAGCAACAGTACAATTTTAGGTGCAGCTAACAAAGCGAAGAAAATATTACCTCAAACGGCACTTAACGAACCCAAAGATCAAGGTGTGATGGTAACGCCGCTCCTGTTTTGGAGAACATGTGATTTGTGGGATTTTTTTCGGTTGTTTTTGGTTTAGTTTGATCCTTTTTATTTTAATTTTCCACAATTTTGTGCTATTAATTCCACTCATCACATAGCATTGTATATTTTGAAATTGAAATATCAAATATCGCTATATAGTTTGGAATTTACGTGTCGAAGATTTTACTGAAGAATGTAATTTTTCATATTAGCAAAAACTGGAGGTCTAGAAAAAACTTTTATTTTCCATTTGTTTTCAAACTGTCATAACAAAGTCTCCTTGATTTAAAGTATGCGGTCTTTGGAATCATTTGGCAAGCTCCAAATACGACGTCTGTTTGTTGAATAAAAAGCTTTGTATTGATACAAGTCTTTATACATATTCAACTTTCAGGGAGTTTAAGACTCACTATTATTTGAAATACATACATACATAAGTACCTGAAATATTCCTTTTTCTTATGCTATACTCTGAAAATTCAGATGATGAAAGAAACTTGAAAGAAGAGTAGTAGTGAACAAGTCTCTAAACTTGTGATTTCACTAGTCATTATTAGTACGACACAGCTCGTTTAGTTACATATTTGAAAATAGCTTGTAGTTCATCAAACGCGATGTTGAATATAGTCCCAAACATGCTGCTTTCCTGCACTGTGGTATGCTTCAATCGAGATATTCTTTGCACATTGTTTTTAACTTAGATACATCTTTTTAATGATGATTTTTTATACTTTTATTTTTCTATATCTCACAGCACAGGAATTGTATAATATTTATTTTGATTTATAGTAAAATGTAAAATAAATAAATAACTTTTTTTAGACACGATTGCCGGCGCATCACGCTCAACGACGCCAATGAGCCATGTTTCGCTGAAAAGTGATTCGTCTGTACCCAATATGCTTGCTAATCCCAAGAAAAAACCGGCTCCTCAGAATAAGAATAGTGGACATGGTGGCAGCTCACACGATGCAGACAACAAGCGACAAAATCACCAACAGCGCGGTGGCAACAATAATCAACGCAACAATAACAGTGACTTCCATGAAAAGTACCGTGTTCGACACGATTCTGGTGGCTATAGCTATCGGCATCATGAAATGAGTGGTGGCAACAATTATGGCAACCAACGTAATAACCATCAACGCGGGGGTGGTGGCGGTGGCGGTGGCGGCGGTCAAAACCATGCTTGGACCATGCACCGCGGCAACCCTAACAATGGTAACAACATGATGGTCCGCAATCGGGGTGGCGGACGTGGTCGCATGCAAAATCAAGTGAGTATAAAATTTATTCATAGTTGATACCTCGCCTGTTTTGTAACTTCAGAAAACAGTAGCTTAAGAGCTTAATGCTTGTTACTTTATAACATTTTAGAAAGCTATTTTTAAACATTTCGTTCGTTTGCTTTCAGGGCTATCGACCAATGGGCGGTCCCGGTGGTAATCAAAATAAACCACGGAATCCGAAGAACACAATTAAATTCTTACAAGATTTCGACTTTGAACAGGCCAATGTTAAATTCGAAGAGCTACGTTCCCAACTGTCCAAACTCAAGGTGGGCGAAGAACCCAAAACCGAGCAGGTATTCATTCCTTTTATTTTGCTTATTTCGCTTATTTTTATTTTTACAAATTAGTTTATTTTGAATTATTAATAATATAGTTTTTTTTCTCATCGATATACATATGTATATAAGTATGTATGCCCCTGAGTGTTTTCAATTCATGCTAATAGATCTGTGTGATCTTGATATACAAATCATTGATTTATGCTATTGCTTCTTATGTCCATATTTTTTATGATAGTAATGTTGATTTTGTTTGTCTGTTCCGTGTTAAAATTTTGAAATAAAACCACGAGTTCTGTTTCACAGATGAATGGCGAAACAGATAAAAAGGACGATTCCGGCAACGAGACTGGTGCCGGAGAGCATGAACCGGAAGAGGAAGAAATCACTGTTGGATACGATAAGACAAAGTCCTTCTTTGATAATATTTCATGCGAGGCAGCACAGGATCGTAGCAAGAACAAGAAGAATGACTGGCGTCATGAACGCAAATTGAATAGTGAAACATTTGGGGTCTCATCGACAAGACGCGGCGGGTAAGAAACTGGAGTTTAAAAAAAAGAAGCTTATTATAAACTTTAAATAAACTTCCTTAACCTTACCTTTTCTTCTTTGTGTATCATTTAGCTATCGTGGACGTGGCAACTATTACAATCGTAATATGGGCTCTTATGGTGGCGGTTATAATCGGAATTATCGTGGTGGCAACCTTTATCGTAACCGTGTCAGAAATGCAAATGCCGCATCTAGCAATGCGAATGGCGGCACTTCTAATACTTCTAATACTAATACCGGTAATCCCGGTGCATCTAATAACATTAACAATGGTGCCAACACAGCTTCATCACTGAAAAACTCGGTGCCACAACCACAGCCATCATTTTCAGCGACTGTTTCAACGCCAAATGCCACGAAATCGACAACTGTGGAAAATAGCAACACACCTCAGCCAACAGCAACTGGTGGAGTTGGTAAGTTGTGCCATTTAATTTAATAATTAAAATAAAATAAACGACAGTGTCGAGTCGTCAGTGTGGTAAAAGGAACCTATGCAAAAAAACCATTATAATGCGGCCATTTAATGTTGTTTTTGTTATAACATCATACAAGTTCTCTAAACAGTTTTTGCGGAGTGTTGCTGGACTGANACGGGATGCATGCTAAGATGTTTATTGCTGAGCATCAACATTAAATTTTTCGGACCAATTTGAGCGAAAAAAGGGCGCCAGCAATACACGATTAATATTTGTAATGATGATTAAGTACATACAGAAGAAAAAGCAAACCATTAATAATACAACGGAGAAACATTCAATGATGATAGTATAGTTAGTTTCATTAAATATGAAACAACTAAGTCCAATCGAACGAAA